CGTAATGGCTATGTTGCTGGATTCCCACGTAGTCGACCGCGGTTCGTGTCCCAGACCCGGTGGCTTAAAACTCACGCCAGGCACGTGTGCGTGCGTGCCCAAGATCCTGAGAGGAGAATGGAGGAAAAGGGATTGCAGCGTGACCATCCCCCCCGGGGGGTGATTTCTCGCTTTCTGTCTCTATGTCTCTCTCTGTCTGTCTGGCGAGCGCACGCGCCCTACAGTGAAAATCTCTCCAAAAAAAAAAAAAAAAAAAAGAATATGGGCTTCCTGGTTTGTTTCGAGCTTTCCCATTGCTACTGAGACCACCTGCCACTCCCTAATGGGCTCAGGCTGTGGCTGCTGGAACCACCTGCACAGTGCACCCATGGGAAAGGTGTGAGATGCTGCCACCACCTTGGGTGGCAGTTCAGGGCAATAATCAAAATAGGAGCTCTGGTTGCCTGTAGTGTGGATTCAAATCCTAGCTCTGACACTACCTATTTAGTGTTGGCTAAGTTCTATAACCTGTTCATCTATGAAATATGGATAATCTAGTGGTGCCTACCCCCTTGTTATTAGGATTAAATGAGGTAATGTGTGCTCGAAAACATCTTGTTCTTGTTCCTGAGTTTGTGCCTTGAGCTCCTGACAAATTCATACTTCTGGCTTTCCCTTTCTCATGCTAACTGTTCTAAATAAATAATAAACAATTAACAAATAAATAAATGCTTTCTGGTAACTGGGTAGGTTATGTTATTTTATCTAGGACTTATTCAACTGTCTCCTCTTTGGGGAAGTGTCCCACAACTCTGTGAGGTTGGGTTACATCTTCCACATGGGTGCTTATCTGCACCGTACTCCTTACGCTCTGTACACGATGCTTTGCTGAACGGCCAATGTTCAATGAGTGGCCATTGTTTTTTTTCCCTGTTCACATTTGTTTTGCTGCAGAGGCATTTTGCTATATTCTGAACTTAAGCTCTTGTAGTATTCCTACAAATGGAAGAAAATATGTGGGAGTAGAAATGTAGAGATAGCAAAGGTGGACTTGTTCTTCTTTTGGCAGGAATAGGATGATTAGTCATCTGGACTCAACTAGAAGATTCATTGATTAGTTTCTAGACTCAACTAGAAGATTCTATTAACGCCATCGTTTCTAAGTATTTAATTTTATTTAGGGGAAAAGAAATCCCACAGATGATGCCATGTGACAAATACCTTAGGTCACAGGACTTCTGTCCTTTTAGAAATTAAATGTGCCAAAGGTGAAACCTTCCCCCTGGTGGCTGAAACTTGGGCACATTGGCTTTTCAGCATTGTCTGTACCTTCCCAGAGGTCACTCTGTAAATACCTACTAAATCAACAGCTGCAGGACTCCTCGGGTGATAGCCCCTGCCTCTGAGTCTAAAGCAGTTAGAGGGGATGATGCTGGGGTCCTGGCCTACAGTCAGAGTTGAAGGAAAAGATTAAAAAAAAAAAAAAAAGCTGTTCATAATCTTTCCACTTAGAAATGCTACTTCTAACCCCCACAGAATATGGCTGCCGTGTAGACAGGGATTGAGGGATCTGCCTTAATATCATCTAACGGCAACTGCAAGCCTGGTGCTCCACTTCTATCATAATCAAGCCTTGCAACCAGCTCACGAGGTAGAATTTATGAACCCATTTTATAGATGAACTAAGGCCCAGACCAAAGACTGCCCAAGATCCTAGAGACAAGAATCCCAGTCTATCTACTCTATCTCTTAGAGTGAAGCCCAACTAAACACAGAAGTGAAGAATTGTTCTCTTCTCCCTTCGTATCTTCAGAGAGACTTTAGGAGTACATGGTTCTGGGGGTGGGCTTGTGAGCACCTCAGGAACCCCTGGGAACTCTAGGATAGTGAAGGCGGCACACAGAGGCAGGGTTTGTTGCATTTGCAAAGCGTGCACTGAAAGTATGCCATAAAACCACACACTGATGGGGCTTCAGGTCTGCCCCATCATCTCTTCTTTCTCTCTCTCTCTCTCTCCCTCTCTCTTTCTGTATCCCACACACACACACACACACACACACACACACACACAGAGAGATGCTTTTTCTACCCCCCACAGAATATGGCTGCCGTGTAGACAGGGATTGAGGGATCTGCCTTAATATCATCTAACGGCAACTGCAAGCCTGGTGCTCCACTTCTATCATAATCAAGCCTTGCAACCAGCTCACGAGGTAGAATTTATGAACCCATTTTATAGATGAACTAAGGCCCAGACCAAAGACTGCCCAAGATCCTAGAGACAAGAATCCCAGTCTATCTACTCTATCTCTTAGAGTGAAGCCCAACTAAACACAGAAGTGAAGAATTGTTCTCTTCTCCCTTCGTATCTTCAGAGAGACTTTAGGAGTACATGGTTCTGGGGGTGGGCTTGTGAGCACCTCAGGAACCCCTGGGAACTCTAGGATGGTGAAGGCGGCACACAGAGGCAGGGTTTGTTGCATTTGCAAAGCGTGCACTGAAAGTATGCCATAAAACCACACACTGATGGGGCTTCAGGTCTGCCCCATCATCTCTTCTTTCTCTCTCTCCCTCTCTCTTTCTGTATCCCACACACACACACACACACACACACACACACACACAGAGTGATGCCACTGTTGAAAAATCTGCACTGACAACAAATATGTCACTGTTGCTGACACACTCATGAGAATTGTCAACAAACATGTCACTGTTGCTGACACACTCATGAGAATTGTCGACAGCCCCCTCGGTACAGAGTACAAACTCAATTCCGTAAGTGAGTATTTGTGTCTCTTTCCGTACATGCTAGAGAATTCCAATAGACTGCCTAGATCTTTCTTCAAAATCCACTTGGCCTCTGCCGGGATTACTCAACCCCACTTGGAAAGAGGTGCTTCCCATGGTAGCAGCTACCAGCTCCATGTGTAGAAGCAAGCCCTTTCATGGGGCTCAGCTGTTCCTCAGGCATCCAGGGAAGCTGGTTGTGCAAAGGCAGAAAACGTGACAACTGCTGGAAACTTCAGCAGCAACCGACGGGAGTGGCTGAGCCTTCTCTGGGGCAGCTAGTTACAGCAGCCCATTATCCAGCTGATACAAAACACCCACCAGCTCCATGGCACCGATAACTGAATATCTCCATTCTTACTAAGTTGGGAGCATATTGGCCACGCTGACTTGCCACAGACTTAAGAAACCATGAACAACTCCTCTGGCCATCAGAATGCACATGCATGGAGAAACAGAGAAAGAAAAAACAAGCTTCCTAAATTCTGAGAACCACGTTCAAAGACTGCCTGACAAGCAAACCACAGTATTTCAACACTGCCCCCAAACATTTCTCTCACTTCAGTGTTAAAGTCTCCAAGACATTTCAGGATTGAAGAGTTTGAGAAAAAGGGTCTCCGAGCCACAGAGAGCACATCGAATGCACCTGAAAAGAAAAGAAGGGCCTGTGTGCATTTTCCCCATGAAGAATCAATCTATCCCAGGGCTTTAGAAAACACTTTAATAAACTCTGCTTCCAAAACCGTACACACTATTTCTCCAACAAATTTGTATTTGTTTCCAGGGAATTCTTGGATCAAATAAATAAGTACCGAGGTGCAAGAATATCTGGATATTATTTTATGCCAATAGGTTAACAGACCTTCACTTTTAATTGCTATTAGTTCATATAGCAGCAGTAATCATTCCCTCATCCGCAAAGGAAATACATATCCCAGCTGTGGTAGCGCCACTGTGGCAAGACTGCTCAAATCTAGGCAGTCCAAAGAGTCCCCTTCATACTCCAGATGCACATAGGCACACTTTTCTCAAAGTGCATGTGGACTCTGCCAAAACTGGTTGCTCCTTTTGTATGTTGAAAATAGGTTTTCCGATCATCGGCATCCCTCGGGAGGAGGCTCCCCTGGAAGATTATTCCCAGGACCAGTTGTAAGAAGTCTCCAGACACCGCCAGGATGGTGGCTCATGCCAGTGCCCTTGTGGATATCAAACAGAGAAGGGAAAACCAAGGCTCTCGGTTTCTGGGAGGAGGTTCTACCGCGTGGCTGGCTGAGTCGCTGACTCCTGGTTTTCCACTTAACAGGGAAACGGCTCCGCAGAGAGGAGGGCAGCCACTGTTCAAGTCACCATTCTGCCTGCTCTCCGGTGTAGGAGGTCAATGTATTTTTAAGCACTGGATGACAATATTCCAGGGGTCTCCCCGCCTCCTCCCTAACCCCAGGCCTCAGTTTAGACTTTCAGCAGCAAGTATCTTATTTCTAAGCCAATTTTCCATATTCGAATCGCCAGTCCAAAGAGCGCCCTGGGGGTTCAGTTCAACAGACGCATACAATAAAAAGCTGAGCTGCTGCTTCTTGACAGACTTTTACCCCACAAACCAATGCCTCTGCTACTGTGCTGGAATGCAGCTCTTCCCGAAACCCTCAAGACCCCCTTTCACCCCCAGACAATACGGCAAGAAAATAAAATGAAAGTGGACTTACTGCTATGGCTTGCAGCCTTTCCTTGTGCAACTCCGCCTCTGCCATCCTGGAGAAAGGCACGCAGGCAGGGGAAAGAAAGAAGAAAAACAAAACACACGCTGTAGTCACCCAAGGAAATGGATGGACACCCCGAGAGGCTGTGCTAGAACCGGGTGGGGAAGTCGAGGGGCGGCTGGGAGCCCGTTCCCGGGGCGGCGGGCAACGCTGTGCGCACCGCTGGTTCGCCTGGGCTCAGGCTCTGGTCCCCGCCCGCCCGGCCGCCTGGCTGCGCCCATGCGCCCCCGGCGCCGCCGCTAACTGCATCTCCGGGTCGCGCCGCCAGCCGCGCCAGCGGAGGACGTGGGCCGCGGACAGCCGGGAGGGCGCGCTCACCCAGCGCTTGCTCTCCGCCCTGACGTCTCGGCGCCTCGCTCCGCCCCTGGAGTGTGGGGGACCTGCGGCCAAGGCCCGTGCCGCTCCAGGCGGACAGGGGACACGGAAGAGGCAGCCGCGGCGGATCCCCAAGGCGTGGACTGCCCGCGCGCGTGCGAGTGGGCATCCGAAGCCCCGGCGCACGGCGAGGCGCGAGGGCGCACGACTGGCGCGCCCTGGGGCGACAGGCTCTCACTGGGGCCCAAGAAAGAACGGCTGGCGACACTACAGAGCAGATGCAGCGGAGGGGCCTCTGCCAGAATGCGGGTCCTGAGCACGTGCTACCACATGGGCATCTTCTAGCTCATGCCAGATGCTTGGGTTCCATGTAGGGCCATTTCCAATAAGGAAGGACTGCCTCGCCCACATCAAGTCTGCTGAAGGCAGAGTATACCTTCAAATAGGCTGGACTTGTGGTGAGGCCAGATGTGTCTTGGAAATACTGCCAACTGTGTAGCCATGAGTGCTTCATTAGACTGGGCTTAAGAACTTATTAGTTGTTCAGTCCCAGTTGTGTGCCGTTCATACCCAAAATCCTAGAATTAGAATGTAGGAGAGGTGATTGCACTGTGTCCCCCCCCCCCCAGGCTCCCCACCGTTTACCTCTCCCTCACTGTCTTTTTCCAGGTAGTGTACATGCCCTATGGCAAAAACCCTAAAAAGTTTTAAATTAAAAAAAGAGTCTTGGTTGTGCAACCATGGGCAACCCAACCCCTCAATCACTGGGCTTCGTCATCTGGGAACCCAACCCCAATCACTGCATTTCCTCATCTAAAAAAATGGAGGATAGCAATAGTTACCTCACAGAAGTGTGCTTAAGAATGAATGAAATCAGATATACTGGACACTTCAAAAAGTCCATAAAAAAAAAACAAAAAGTGAACTAAAGGTCTGAGTTTATTTTGATGTACAAAACTTTTGAAATCCATGCATAGATTTTTTATATTACAATTTTCCATGAACTTGCTGAAGGTCTCCCCTCATAAAGGTCCTTTCCAAAGGGCATTACAGACATCTACCCTTATTATCCAATGACATTGCAGATTAAAACTCTGAGGCCTTTACTTTTTTTTTCCCCTTGTGTAAGAGAGACAATGGGAAGTGAGAAATCACCCTCTGGGGATGGCCGCGTTGCAATCCCTTGTCCTCCATTCTCCTCTCAGGATTTTGGGCACACACACACACACATGTGGCTAGTGTCATTTTCAGGCCAGGTCCAGGGGACTCAAACCATGGTCAGTCAATGTGGTAGTTTAGTGCTCTAACCATTGTGTCACCTGCTGGCCTCAAGGTTCTCTACTTCTATACACTGTCTTTGAAAGGAAAAGTAGGGACCAGATCTGAAGTCTGATGATTAAGGCAGACAGATCCCACAAGGCTAACTCTGGTGTGAGTCCCAGACTCGGTAGTTTGAGAAACACATTGGGAGCAAATGTGCCTGTGAACCCCAAATTCCAACAGGATAGAAAAATGGAGACAGGACTGTGACATGACCATGCCCCATGGAGGTCTGGGGATGCTTTCTCCCTCTCACTCTCTGGCAAGTGCAAATGCCTTCTGGTAAAAATGAAAATTTAAAAAAAAAGGAAAAGTAGGATCTGGTCACTAATACACTGGACCTTTTCATTAATAAAACAAGATGCTACACGGTACTAAAGCAGCTCTTTTGTGATAGGCCTTGAGCTCAGACTGAGAGAGAGATAAAAGTGGTGCCAAAAGGAAATAAGTGCTAAAAACAAAGTGTTGTTTAACATTCAGGATGGGCCTGCTACAATATCACATCCAAAAGCAATCTTTCTTCCATAAAATAAACACTGAAAACAAATGTGGCCTGTTGAGATTCATGATAATTCTATAAATGCAGAACTTAAGTCATTTTGAAAGATATGCACATCAAAGTTTCACCAAATCATCTATTTTATGGCCAAATAATTTTATTTCAACTAAATCATCCTTTCCGCTTTCAGGAAGGTTTTACCTGTCACTTAATGAGTAATTACCACTCCTACGGAAGATAGAAGCACTCACCAAAACAATTTTTCTTGTTGATTGTTTTCTCTTTTGTCGTAACAGGTGTAGGGGGAGCTGTTTGCACCATAAATCCAAGCCAGTGCCAGATTGACAGCCTCCTCCAGGATATTCTGAACTTTTACTTGCTGGCAAAGACCCCATCACTTTCTTTAAATGCTCCTTTTTTTTTTTTTTTTTTTTTTTTTGAGAGAGGTTTTTGCTATAGGGCAAGTGCGCTCGCCAGAAAGACAGAGAGAGACAGAGAGACAGAAAGCAAGAAATCACCTCCCAGGGGGGAATGCCCACGCCGCAATCCCTTCTCCTCCTTTATCCTCTCGATATCTTGGGCACACACGCACATGCGCCTGGTGTGAGTTTAAGCCACCAGGTCCAGGACTCGAATCGCGGTTGACGACATGGGCGTCCAACAACATAGCCACACTAACTGCTTGCTGGCCCCCATTTTCATCCATTTTCAACACCAATCCCAGCAGGATGAGTTCTCTGAAGGGTATTTTCTCTCAAGCAAAGCTATTACTACTTCAGCAGAGTGATCATGTACCCAACCAAACTAGAAAATAAGAAGAGGAAGAAAGTGAGACCAGAGAGGTTAAGAGGCTCAGCCAATGTCACAGAGCTGGGGTTTACACTCCTATCGGATTCTGCAGAGCACACATTTCTAACCAGTAAACAAAAGCCTGGCTAGTGATACGGAGGTAGAGCAGGCCCCAGTAAAAGGCAGGAAAACAAAGCCAGCTTGGTGATGCAATGGTAATACGCTACTCAAGAAATACTGGATGCATTTGGAAGTTGGTGAGTTCAGCTCCCAATTCAACCTGTTTACACTGGGTACCTGCACCCAAGATCCCACCTAACTAGGAAGGCTAGGGGGATCTTGGCATAGGATGCTATTAGGTATACTCCTCTCTCTCTCTCAAGAAATAAATGGACTTAAAAACAAACAACAACAAAAGAAAAAAGAGAGAGAGAATAAGAAAATGGATCCCTTGGGCTACAATAATGTAAATGTACTTAATGTCACCCACTAGACACTAACAAGTGGTTAAAAGAGTAAATTTTATACTATGTATATTAAGCCACAATAAACACTAAAAAGGAGTAATGGAAGGGGTATTGGGGGAGGCAAAGAGCCTGATCACTTTGGAAGTGGTCACTTGGAAAGATCTGAAGTTCAGAACAGAAGAATCAGAACTGGTGACACGTATCGGAGTGTCATCTGCTACACAGTCATAAAGAGATGAGAATAGCAAGGATAAGATAATTAAGCAAGAGGAGGAGAAAGCCTAACTTTTAAAAGGAGACTTGAAGGACTAACAGATATAATGATTATGTCACTGAACGTTCACATAGCTGACCATGGTTCAAGTCCTGGACTCAGCAACTTAAAACGCATGTGGGGCACATGTGCATGCATGCCCAAGATCCTAGCAGGAGAATGAAAGAGAAGGGATTGCAGCATGAACATCCCTCCCTAGAGGGTGATTTCTCACTTTCTGTCTCTCTGTGTGTCTCTGTTTCCCTGGCAAGTACATGCACTCTATAGCAAAAATCTCTCTCTCTGAAGAAAAAAGGAGACTTGAAAGTATCATTGAGAAATAGAAGGGAAAATCATGAAGTATTTACACCAAAAGTCAGAATAGAAGGAAGGAATTTCAACAGGGCTTTGAAAGGTCAAGGAAGATGGGTGGACTAAGAAGAGGTAATCAGCAAGTCAGGAAGTCAGGGGTGACACTGGAGAGAAGTGAGTGTCTGCTACTTGAGCCTGGGAGCACTTAGGAGAGTTGAGGATGAGTGACAGGTGGGGAAGGAGCACCATGAGGACAAACTACTCTCAGATTGTGGAATGTGATGGATGAAAGGCAGGGAAACAAGTAGGTAGTTTCTGAAAAGCAGGGTCTAGCTGAAGGGTTATCAGGTCAGGCAAGACTTGAATATTTGGGGGTTAAAGGGAATTAGACATCAGGAAAGTGAGGCCAAAGATACAATCAAAAGAGAAGGTAAGTATCAGGCAAAGTCTCAAGTTAGAGCACAAGGCATCCTGATCAGCATCGCTGCCTAGCTTAACCTTGGAAAGGTTAGGCTTAGTCTTGGTCTAAACCCCCGTATGAATTTAATTCACTAGAAATAGACCAATGACTCGTGATCATTAATGTATACTCCCTCAATGGCTTTTAGCTGTCTGAGGCAAGCTATGGTTGTGTTTAGTCAGTGTTGAGAATTGTCAAAGCAGGTATGGCAAAAAGTCAAAGGAAAGAGGAAATTCAAAATGCTGAAATACGAGGGTTTGGGCCAACTAGGAAGTATAGCAGACTCATTCTTATTTATTTATTTAGCTGGCTCAACTTTTAACTCCTGATCTTTGTGGAATTCCCATATTACTAGCCATAGCAAGAAGCAGAGCCAGTCCCATCATAGAAGCTAGGAAAGACCAGACACTGGCAGAAATCATGGCGTGCAATCTGGGCTTAGTCAGACAAGTGCACCTGCCAAGAATTTTGAAGACACAGCATTTTAGAGAATCCTGTAAGGCTGGCAGCTCACCTTTGGCCTTGCTCATTTTCTTTTCTTTCCTTTCTTTCTTTTTTTTTTTTTTGTTGTCTTGCCTATTTACGATACTTCCTTCTTTAGGCCTCCTATCTATTTTGTTAGCTGCCTAAAACCATTTCATTTCATTCTTTTTCTCCTTCTATCAACTAGAATCCATTTCTGTTTCCTGTAACTAAGAACGATACGTGAAATAGGAAGGCATATGAATTGAATGGCTGATGCTCGACCAAGGAACAGAGAGAAAACATTCTCTTTCTTCAAATCTCTACATTTTTTATTTAAAAACTAT